GACCCCACCACCAGAGCCCCAGGGACTCACCTGCCCCTCCCGCACCCCAACACCACCCCCCACAGTCCCAGGGTCCCTCGAGCCCTTCGTTGCACACCAGGTTAGGAGGTATTGGGGTGCTCCAGTGAGCAGAGGTCAGGGGGCTTTTGCTCTTTTGTGCCGGGGAGGGGTACTGCATGCATGAGGCACGGCTCCAGGGGAGGCAGAAACAACTCCCTGCTCCAGCTTCTGTCCCCTGTGGTCCCATCCCTGGGGACAGCTGAACCCTGAGGTTCGAGGTGACTTTAACCTGTGTTTCAGCTGGCTTTGGGGCACCAACAATCCCGCTCTGCCAGGCTGGGGGCAGCTCGGGTGGCCCTGCACCAGCCCACAGCAGGATCAGCTTCCGGTCCCTCCCCAGCACCCAGTGGCACAGGACCCAGATGCGGTGGTGGAGGTCTCTGCACTGCCTTGTTGCAAAGAGAAACCCAGGTGGGGGCAGCCAGCCCCCCTCCTCTCTTCCAGCCATCCCAAGAAATGAGGTTTCCTGGCTACTAGAGGCGAAACTCGGGCTGATCCAACCTCCCAGGTGGGCACGTGGGACCAGGGGGGGACAAACTGATGGCAGAGGTGTGCAATGCTCCTTGAAGAAGACATCGTTTCTCTGGTCTCAAAGTAACACATTCGTGTTGCAATCCTCCTTTGGATATTCTTCATTTTTGAGCAAAATATAAACCTGTGCCAAAAACCTGGGGTGGAAAAAGGCCGTGCTGGTGAGCTGGTCGGGTCGGTTTTGGATTGCCACAAGCAAATCTCCTGCATGATTTTGCCCACTCATCTGCCACCTCGCTCTTCATCTTTTGGGGAAAGAATAGCAGAGCTCTGATTGTGGTTTCTTCTTTTTCCCAGTCCCCTAACAGCCAGAGAATGCTTTATTGGAGACCACACGATGAATAAACAAAACAACATTTGAGCAAAGCAAACAGCAGAAGACGTGGGAAAAGAGCTTCCACCGACAAGATGAGACATAGAGGAGGTGGATTCACGACAGGGAGCGAGGAGACTTTGCTTAGACCGCTGGCAAAAGCTTCTCAGCTAATGCCAGTAATACCGAGGGGAAATAACCTCCTCCGCTGCTGCCGGTGGCTGCAAATGCCCTGTGGCAGCTCGGAGGGAGCTCCTTGGGAAGGACAAACAGCTCAGAGCCACCGGGTTTCAAGGATGTATCACTTGGCCGTGAAAGTCTTGCTCCTGGCTGGGGCTTAACAGCACGTCTGTGCATCCCAGCTGGGGAGCAGCGGAGCTGAATAGCCTTATGCATTTTTAAAGAGTATCAGTTATGGCCCTGGGATGTGTCGGAGGGTGAAGGCAAGGGGGAAGTCAGGCTGCTCCATAGCTCCTACAGCTTTAATTCACAAGCAGGGTCAGGGCTTGTGGCACAGGGGAGGCTCCAGGAATCTCCCAGGGGATGTCCAGGCACTGGCTGCCACCTATTTGCAGCTATTTACCCTCAAAAGGTGTGGTCTGCTCATTGACCCAGGGGCAGGTGGCCACAGCTGTGGTTCGGGTGGGATGCAGGCTCAGCCGGGGTTCGGGTGGGGATGCAGTTTTAGCCAGGTTTTGGGCAGGATGCAGGCTCAGCCGGGGTTCGGGTGGGATGCAGGCTCAGCCGGGGTTCATGTGGGATGCAGGCTCAGCTGAGGTTCAGGTGGGGATGCAGTTTTAGCCAAGTTTCAGGCAGGATGCAGGCTCAGCCGGGGTTCGGGTGGGATGCAGGCTCAGCCAAGGTTCGTTGGGATGCAGGCTCAGCCGAGGTTTGGGTGGGATGCAGGCTCAGCTGGGGTTCGGTGGGATGCAGGCTCAGCCAAGGTTCGTTGGGGGGCAGGC